AAAAATAAATTATAACTTTTGACAAAACTTTCAACTAACAGTTTATTTGGGATGCTAGGAGTTTGATTTATTTAATCTATGTGTACACTGTTTTTCACATATGAAACTTAATGTATCGTTTAGTTCATCGGTTTCAACTGTGCATAGTAACTGCAATGAGCTCATTTTTAATTATACAAGCTGGGCGAACTGCCTGTTTCGTCATCATAGTTTGTGTTGATCAGCGTTAGCATTTATGACTTGGAACTAAACACCAGTAGAGTGCGACAATCAGAATAGTTTGAATTTCAATTACTAAGTTGCAGGTTCGAACCTCTTTTCGCCGTTTGCAGTATGAATAAGTCTCACTGAAGTAATGTGGCCCAAACTTAGGTACGTTAACTTATACGTTATATTTGTATTGTTACGTTTAACGATGGTGGTTACTAGGGGTTGATTTATTCCATTCACGGTTCCTACCTGTTTTGTTAGGGTAAATATCGACAAATTTATGAAGATTAGCTTTGGGATTTTTTTCCTTTTGCTTTAGTCATATGATGGGAATAAATATTTTGAACTTTTGTATGTTCAAAGTCTCAAAAATATACGTTTTATGATAATGCACTCCAAATGGACGACTGTTTCTATACATTTTTATACACTGACTATACATAATTTACGGCGGAAACACTTTACAATAAGTGGCCAATAATATTAAAAATAGTAACCAAGTCTACTTAATGTCTCATACAAAGGAAAGTTTTCCATTATTACTAGGAAAATGTTTTTTATTATGACTGATAAACAAGTTAGTCTGAAAATTTTTTCGATTGCCTACTCGAAGCTCTATGCCATTATTCTTCAAAACGCTCATTTATTTTCCGTTTGTTCTAATCGAAGAATTATGTCTTCTAACTGCACCTATGTTTACAATGCTTTGTTGACTTTGATTATTGGGAAACTGAATAAAGACCACCCTGGTGGTTCGTATAGTTTTGTCCTCCTCTGCCCTTTGGAAGAAACGGTAGGAGATTATTATAGAATCCACACATTAAGTTTATTTGAAGGTTAAAAAATATATAATGGGAGCATGATTGATTGTGAAGGCTTACAGGTGAATGTGAATAGCAGCTAATTACTGTTTAAAACTTTGAATACTTATATTCTAAATATTTACAGCTTAATTGCAATTTGGCGTACTTTGTGCTGAGAATCTTTTACTGTAATCAAACGCATGCCATTGGATAGATTAATGATAATAATGTTATGACGGTCGGTTTTCCACGTCTTTACGAAAGGGACGTTAATTTGCTTTAGACACATGTCTACACTAGATTCCCTCCCAGTGTCTATACTAAAGGACTTCAACACAACTGACATCACGAAAATGTGATTAGTCTAACTAGAACGTAAATATATTTCCGCACCAAAAAACCGACAACAATCCAATAATAATGAGGGAAGGAGAACATATAGCTCAACGCCTGTCTATCCACAAGTTTGACTAAGTAAATAACCAATCATTATCAACCTGGCCCACACATCAAATAATAATAGTGATCTTTATGTACGACTCGGATTTTTGTCATGGCGTTTTTTGGCATTTCAACGTCTAGCTCTTATTATCCTACTTTTTCACTCACGTGAGCAGAATATTAGTTCACACTAATATTGTTAAACACGATAATAAGCAAGAGGAGTATGTGTTTATTGCTAGAAGTTACAAAATCTTTACAAAACACATATCCATAGTGTGCAATCGTCTATTCGCATCTTTCAGTTTGTTCTGATATCTGAACTGTCTCCTCGTCTGTTCTCCAAGTGTCCTGCCGACGCCTTGCTGTCGATGCACTGGAAATTTTTACTCAGTCTGATAATTATAGCGACTTCGACGTTATGTTTCACTACACACTACTTTCAAACAATCTTGTAAGTAGCGTCCACTTCGATATTGCATTTAAAGAAATGTTTTGTCTATTAGATTTATATTTTTAACATCGTTTACAAACAAAAATATATTTTTTACTATGTTTTACTATTATAGTGTAAGGTTTGCGCTATACTTCTTGTTTTCTATTTTGAAAGTTCGACTTATTTTCACTATTTCTTTGTTTTTATTGACCCATCAAGACTTAGTATATGAGTTTCTTATGGTCTAATTTCACTAAATCTAGGATTAGGGTTTGAAGTTTAGGATTTACGGTTCAAGTTAAGATTTAGTGTAAATAATAAACTAACCATAAAACATAATCATAAATCATAATCTTAAATGCTAGATCCTAGTTCTAGTTGTAACTACGTGTAAAACCTTAACTGTACATCCTCGTCGTAAAGTTTAACTCTAAATGCTAGTCCTAATTCCTGATCCAAAAATCTAAATCTTAGTCTTAACTGCAAACATGGGTAACCCTTTGAATATTAAGACCAATAATTTACGTTCGAATAACAACATTCGGTTTTAATGTATGTCCCTTGAACTTAATGAAATTCACACGTTCGTCATTAATTCATGATTATAGTTTAATTGTGCATCCACTCTTGGTAAAAAATTCATTTTATGCACTTTGATTCTCGTTTTGTTTTCGCTGTTTCATTTTCTATAATCATTAGCTGAAACAAGTCTATTAACAGTCATTTCTTCTGTTGAACTTATTCCATGCAAGTTACTTTATTCATTATAAACATTCTGGTAGTCTCAAGATTTTGCCGGATATAACACTATTGAAATTAGTTTTATTTACTTCCCAACTCCAATGTTTTATATTTTCTTTATTCCTATTTCTTGATGAAATATTGTAAATCTCTTTAACGTAAACACGTTTAAATTTTGGATGCGTCCAAATATTCAAGAAATATATGGAACTATCGTAGCGCAAATAAGTATCCTACACTATCAGCTGATCATGCCATTGAGCGATTGTGTGCACTTTCTGATATACAACATTCCATCACCGCTTCCCATTTTACATCGACTACTAGATGAGAAAACTAGAGAGAACTTCTTGTTTGGTTTATTCATTGAATCGCAGTCTGTATGAGTGTTATCCCAGTAACATTTTGTCGGGTGGTTTTTATAATAAAACATGTAATTATTTATCCAAATTGCATACTTTTTTTGACTTACTTTGGTCATTAACTGTAAGTGTTATTACATTGAGTTTTCATTATGTTATAATCAGATGCTTATAATTATTTAAGATTTCAATCCAAGTTCAGACCATACTTCACTACTTTCTAATTCGTACTGACTTTTTTGGTGATCTCAGTTTTTAAACATGAAGCATTCATCATTTCAATCAACCTATCGTATCAAAATTCCAATTTTATTTTACCGATATTGTTGTTCAACCTAAAGTACAATTCAGTTGTTGCACATTTTATGAATTATTTGAAAGCACCTTTGATAGTGATAATCTTCCCTTAGAAACTATACATTTATGTGTCCTATCCATCAGATGCTATTTACAGACTATCTTGCTGCTAGATCATACCATAAAATATGTGTAAATAACTGTTTATTGATTCTTCTGTTTATTGTTTATCGTTCCTATTGGAATATTTCATACATTCAGTTGCTGTCTTCAACCTATTGTTAGTGATTTATTGGTTGGTGTTTTCACCGAAGTCCCATCCTATGTTCTAGTGCATAATACTATTTGATATAAATTATGTACATCTTCTTGAGTAAATTTTGAAAAGCTGTAAATTTTGTGTTTGCATTTCGTAATAGTTAGGGACCATTGTTCATTGATTTCAAAGACATGGTGGTTAAAAAATAAGTTAGTTTTATCACCTTAGATAATTTTAGTTAGCATTTATGTATTTATTAAATGTTTTGACAATATTTCAAGCTTTTTTTTGTCTAGACTCGTTACTACAGCTATTTTGGTTTGGATATTGGTCTTGTTCTTGGATTTTTTCAGTCTATCTGTAACTGTTTGGAATTGAATGAACTTCAATCAATTCAATATACTCAATGAACTAGCTTCATAAATTATGTCTTATAAATTGATTAAAGTTGAAACTATTACATTGAGAAGATAACTGGGTATTTTAAATCTATTTTTGTTCTAGCAAAGATGCTCGACAATTGTAGCTATATTCCTCTAAAGTAATGAATAGTGCACTACTGTGTTTCCACCACGTTGCAGGGTTACACAAGAAGATATTCAGTGACATCTTAGTTATACCGCTGCATTTTTTAATGCAAAAAAGTCGTTTTTCAATGATACAACTTAACTTACTCCATTTGTCATTGTTGAGTTTTTTTCTTGAGTAGTGGATATTTAAGACTCGATTTATGTTCGTTTCAGTTCTAACATTAATGTACTCGCTTTGTTTTTCAATATAGTATTTTTATAGACGTCTAAGTTAGGGAATCGTAAGTGAATAAATTATAACTCCATTTACTTTTGCTGCTTTCATGTAGCATGGTTTGCAATGATAATATGAGTCTTAAGCTGTTTCCAATACTTTTCCACTGATTATATGCATCTTATCTCGTCCACTCTGAATTTTCGTTATCTTTATGTGTGTATAAGACTCGATTCTGACTGTACTCATTCCATCACTTACACATGATTGTATTTTCCACAACAATTCATTTTTTCCTTGAAGGATGTGGGTAATTTAACGACCAAGGAATCATATGATTTATCTACTTCATTTTTTATCTGTAGAAAGAATTAACATTTTAATTATCATTAATTCGATCTGGCACACAAATTGACTTTAATTACTCCGTCCATAAATCAACGGGCTGTCCATTTAAGAAATATTAAAAATTCCCGACTGCTACATTGGATCGCTGTAATACATGTACTACTTAAACAACCAATGAACTAGTACACTTAAAACTTTCTTTTATCACATGTTTGTTTTCTGCACGTTTAACGTTATTACTTATATCAAATTGATCATGCCTGTAAACTGGCGTGAATTCTGTAATTATTATTTTTTATTTTTTCAGAATATAAAAATTTATTATTATTATATTTATCTTTCCTGTGTTATTTATTTAGAGAGAGACAATAAACCAACTGAACAAGTTATACGTGAATCGTTGCAGATGAGATTAGAAGAAGCTTATCCTAATGTTTTATCCATGGACGACCTTATTCGGTAAGTTTTTCACCTTCGATAAAAGATTATAAGTGATCAAGTGGATCAGTGCTATAACGACAAAATAAGTTGTATTGAGTGGCAAGAATGATGAATGTTCTTTATAGTACTCTTGTGTCTCACTAAATGTGCTAGTAATGGCTTATACATGCGAGCAATTAGTTGATTCACGAAATTACAGTTTTATACATTTCTAACCAAGATTAATGTGTAGTTGTGAATCATTTTAGTAGTTTACACTTATCGGTCTAGTGATAGGTTAGTTTATCTAATAAGACGATTATCTTCATTTAAGTTACCTAGCTGTAGAATGTAGAGCAAATTCTATCTAAAATAACTGAAATTTAGTTTAGCTGCTTTCTATTAGTTCATTTTGTACTAAACAAAATTTCTTGTCTTAATTGTATAATGGTTTGTTTACTAACCAGTGTTTGCAGATTCTCGTTTTCTCTCCCGGCCTTATATTGTGATACTGATTGGTATCTGTTCATGTCATAAGTATACCATATATTCAAAGGATACATAGTAGTAAGTTATTTAATGCATACTGAAATGGTACCTCAAATACAAATTGTATACAAAATCTATTCTAAATAAACTTCATGGGTTTATGTGTGGCTATTAAGTTGTATTTATTCTCTGGAAATTGTGTTATTATTCTTCCCTTATATATTGTGTTATTTTCGGTAATTATACAGCATATTTTATCAATCATTTCCTGTTTCAATACACATTAGTTTCAGTCAACTAAATAACTAAAATCGTATTTAATCATTGCTATATACCATTTTAAAACAATCAGTTACATGTTTGATACTCAGTACCTAGACAAAGTGTTCTGTTGTAAATGATTTAGAGCTGTCGATGGGAATCATTTCATGCAAACTATCTGTTAGAAATTACCAATAACCCTATGGAGACTTATACTCGTTTAATGACATGTGTAGTCAATATTTACCATTACAATTAGAAATATTACTGCTAGACTATTTTTGAATAAATGGTTCGACACTAGTTCTTATCTTTGTTTATTTTTCTATAAAACATGTTCAAGCAATTTGTATACTTCAGTAGGACAATTTCAGTAAACCAAAGTATTTAAATTACATCTTCAGGTATTTCTTTTCATTTATTGATTAAATTAACTGCTTTACGAACATTATCTACACTAAATGAATTTAAGTCTTGTTAGCTTATCCGTTATGTAATTGAGATGTTGTTTTTCATGTCTAAAACGTTTTCTAAATTTCTTATATATTAACCAGTCCATAACAAGAGTTACTCTGATGAATGTGTATAATTTTCTCAGTTAAATCTACCATAATTGTTTGTATAGTCTTATCACTTATGGGTGTGTTTAGTCTTGCAATTCATTTTATCTATTAGTGTTTCTAGCTATTTCTTTATTGTAAGATTTATGAATATTTAATTTCGTGTTATCGTTGCAACCACTCATTTTTTTCACTGAATTGTTATTCAGGTCCCATGATTCTGTACAGACATGTCTATTTAAATAAAAAATTTTCTCTTTTCATAAGTTTGGTTATTTATACTAAAGATAGTTCTACTACCAGATTTTTCTCCTCTTCTGTTACTTAATTACACATCCCTTAGATACTAATAAATTCTTTTTGTTGTTTTAAAATTTTTATTCATCTGTCTATAAACTGCTTTTATTCATTGCATACTCTGTTAGCAGGACAAAATATACATTTTTCCTTTTTTAATTTTTTTTTTGAAAGAGTCGAGTGAAGTATAGTGTCCAAGGTAAATTATACAGTCAAAGAACCTATCACATACAATACAATTAACAGTTAAATTTAATCATTTTTAGTTTGTTCTGTTTGCAGCTGTATCATATATATATATATATATATATATATATATATATATATATATATATATATATATATATATATATATATATATATATAGGCAACCAACTTGTTAATTGATAAAGTGGGATTGTCACCATCTAAAAAATTTATTCTCCTTACTATTCTTATGTATTATTATTTGACTATCCTCTGACTCATCAGTACAAGAAAGTAGATATAGTAGACTAGTGAAGCGATTTAAATTTTACAAACAATTTACGTTTCGACATTGCAAACAAAATCAATAGGATATCGTTGCTACAATCTTTTTCCCTGTTGGACTAATCAAATAGTCTCTGCATTTTTGTGTTTTATTTTTATTACCTCATTTTTTCTTCATGCTATTAAACTAGATGGTTATGAGTATTTTATCTACTTTCACATTATTCAATCCCCGGATGTTTATACCTAGTTTTCATTGTTTTTTGGCTTTTAATGTGCTGATCGATAGAATTTAATCAGCGTTAAAAATATTTTTATTAAGTAGTTTGTATCAGTTAAAATAAAGAAAGCCCACTTTCTCTGTATTACACAGACTCATATAATCCGTCTTTAGAGTCATTAAGTTATCCATGGGAACCACTTAACTGCACCTGGTTATAGTTTCCAGGATTATTATCAACAAAATAGTAACTAACAAACATTTTTGTGGAAATCACCTCGTAAGCTACCTTACAGTGTACAATAAATTTGCACACAAAATATCTATTGATGACTGTTTATTTTAAGCAAAGTACCATTATGATTAAACGGTACTGATGCATGCTTCCAATTTCTGTCAACTTCAAAATTTTGATCTATATATCCTCGTTTGATGATTAACTTGTTCACAAATGACAGGTGATAAAGACCTATAATTACCTTTTTTCAGTACACTTTCCTTCGACTTGTTTATAAAGGTAGGAAATATTATCTTGTATTGATTTTCTGCCACTTAATTTATCATGATCTCGTTTGCATCTTTGTTAATGCGCCAAATAATTAACAGATTATTTTTTTCACATATTGATATATTTCCTTTTACACAGGTTTTTGTAGACTATGTCATATGGTGTAGTATAACATAAGAGATTATTCTTTCTGTGGATGTGTGTTTATTAAAACATTGTTTAGTTCATAAAGATTACCTATCGCTCCTCTTTGTTAACATGTGATTTTATAAAATTGAGTGTTCTGTGTTCAATGTCTATTTTTCCATGTTCATATTTCTTGACCTTTAAATTCTGTGATTCATTGTTTATTGATTGCAATATAGATATTCAACAAGAGTGATATTAAGTCTGTCTTTAGTAAATAATTTCTAGCTTTGTGTTCTATGAACTTTCTACGTATATACCATTCACTTACTGGAGACTACTTGAAATAAAAATTAGTTTAATTAAAGGAATTACATGCAGTATTGAAAATAAATTTGCAACCGAACCAATATTACATATTACATAGATTCAGATTACAGGAGAATTCCTGCACTTATGACTGATCGGCTCGCTTGTATTGGAATATATCATATATTATACCACAAGTGCTGGAAATGTCCTATTTTCGGTATGAGGACAGTTGTCCATATCATGAAATGATATTTCTTCACAGGCGACCTGATAGTGTGACTTCAAAGCCCAAGAGAAAACTGCTTGATGTTGTTCACATGGGGTATTTTTATGGGTTAGCTCTGTAGGTATTACCCCCCCTCTTCACCATAGATTAACCAAAGACCACAAATCGTTTGCTGAGGTTTTGTGAATTTTAATTGACTGAAGTGGTTGGGATGTGTGGATGGATTCTCTCCTTATCTTCTCGATCTTGTGTCCTAGTATTTCTTCATAATTACCTTTCCACTCTTTTTCGACCATATTTTCAAGGTTTTGTCTCTCTGTTCATCATTACTACTACATTATTTCGATCTCTTTTGTGATTAACATCTCGTCATATAAATCAAGTTCGGCAACTTGGGCCAAGACATATTTGTGCCAGATTCTGTGTTAATGCCGTCTTTTTGGGCTGGAAACTCAATGATTGATTAGTACAAAAACTGGTTGAAAGTCCCACATTTAAATCGTCATGATTTTAAACTTCTGATATAACAATCAATGCAAAATAAGTGGTTGATTTTAAAATCAAGCCAAAATTGTGATACTTTTACCCTCATTAAGTATGCTATTTTTTGTTACGTGTGAGGCTTCGATTAATTAGTAAGCCCATCAGTTTGCCAAATTAATGTAACGTTTTATCTCTAATATGGGTATTTATCTATCAATTATGTTACTATGAATATTTTATTTGAAAATAATCTACAATGGCCATAGAACACATCCGATAAATCGGTTACGTTCTTCGCTTATAAAAGCATCATGGTTGGCTTCTTATAAGGCTTACCATTTTACTTGTTATAGACACTGATTAGTCAGGTAAAGTAAAAAAACACTGGTTATTAGTATGCACTTTGTCAACAATTGTATATTTTGTATATCACATTTCATTTTCATAAGCGTCCCCTTAGATTCGTAAATTGGTTGATTGCTGTCGTCAGCCTGCACCACTAATACTACTTTTGCTTTGTATTCCTTTGATTGAGTTTCTTCATTTTAGGCTAATCTAGAATTTTGGGTTACAGTAAAATGAATTAGCAATCGGATTACTTTTTCGGTGTAATTGTTCCTCAGTAAACATCCATCATACTTTGACAGCTAATCCAGTCGTTTGAAAATATTTTATTTATTCGCTTATCGATTGTAACTACTTACTAGTAGTGCAACTAGCATTGTACATTTTTTATTGTCCCAAGCTTCCCATTTCGGTCTTATAACTTGAAGATTTTCGCACTTTTGTTTATTAGTCTAATCGTTTAATTTTCTAAATATTGGTTAAAGTTTAAACCTTGAGTTAATCGGATCGGGGACACAGTGTCGGTGTCAAAGACATTATTGTAAGTGTTCGGATTCAGACTGACTATGAAAGTGACTAGATTAATTATATGTAGTGGCCACTGGATAAACAACCATGTCATCTGCCCTTTACTTCTTACAGAGGTACTGAACTAATGACTTCCTACCAATTATAGTCAGCTGTTTTATAAAAGGCGTTGCCAAGTTCAATAATATTTCTCTGTTTTAACTTGCCAAACGTGATCAGTAAAATTAGTCCTGCACCAAAGACCATTGGTTACTACTAGTCAGCCCATGGCAAATAAATTCTTTGAATATCGCTGTTACTTAGTAATACTTGGCACTCATGAAAGATTTAAGGTATAACTGGCTAGGAGATTCAAGTTTTTGAGTCAACTTCAAAAATTTCAAAAAAGAAATTTTCCTTTAAAAGTAGTGTGATGTGGTAAAAGTATATTATGCCATAGTTCAGCCAGTTTCATCTCAAAAATGTGTGAACTTCTAGACTTTTTTCAGTTGAAAATGATGTCTGCATCACCTACATTTCTATTGAACTCTATTCATTATGTTTTGTAAATTGGGGTCATTCTGATCTGGTGATGACTTAATTATTTGAAGCAAACAAATAACCTGTATATAAATAGATGATTTCTGTCAACTAAAATCGATCAACTTTTCTTTTTGTTAAAAAGTTCATCTCTTATTTTTAGTAACTTAGAGAAAATTTGTTAACCGAAAATTTATGCTAATTATTTTTTTAGATGTTGGTTTAGTAACCATATCAAAGAGAACTAAAACTAACTAAGAATGTGGTATCACATTGCTTATTCTTACTGGTTTACCTTTTTCTGTTTAGTATTTTAGAATGTGATAATCGTGCTTTATTACAAGTTCAATTGAATGAATTAGTCGACCGAGATCTGATACAATTGGTACCACTGGAAGGCAAGCATGTTGGTCAATTCGGTTTCCGAAGAAAAATTCATCTACAAAATCATGGTCAGTATACAGATTCTCAATATTATAGATATTCGTTATCTACTAATTGCCTGTTTATTAAGGATTACTTTGTCAGTTCTACATGAACATCAGTGATTGTAATGAATTTTTATGATTTGTGTCTGTAGAGTGGATAGTAATGAGGTTCGGTCTATGCAATGTTCATATATATCTGAAACAGTGATATAATGTCACAGGTTCCTAAAAAGACATTGAAGAAGGGTGCTCTCTTCAATAAAATGATCCAACCTAACAAAGAAAATAAAAGGTTATGGAAAATATATATTCACACTGGTTTGTTCTTAAGAGATGGTACATAGATTCACATGAACTCGTATGAATAATCGTTAAATAATGTAACGCAGTCAATAGAGTTTATTGTTTATAATAAACCTAGGACAAGATTTTTTGGGTACAAACGAATTTTTCATACTGATTCAATTTGTGTAAGATTATACTCTAAGTGGATATTAACTTATTTATATACGAAATAAGTATCTGATTTCCCACAAGTTCATACTTCTTACAGTTTAAACTTATTTCGCAAAGTATGATTGATAAATAAAAAAAACGAAACTTGGTACAATCACACCTGTGATCGACGAAGGTTATTTTAATAGTTTGACCTCAGGAATGCGTATATTCAGCTGATCTGATTAATAATTTCAAAAAAGTGATCATTGTAGTATGTGGTATGGAAAATGATACCTTTTCATGCTGTGTAAAAACATTTTTAAATTCCTGTGAATAATCTATAATCCGATTCATTTATATTGGTTTTTTGGATCTTCCCATCAGTGTTTAGGACTGCAATTGGTCAGTCTTTTTTACTGGGTCGGATCTCCGGAGTGAACATTGAACAGGATGCACATATGCCTAAAAGAGGTTTATCAGTTCTAAACATCAGTGGGAAAATTCAAACAACCAATACGACTGAGTTAAGCTTCACCACATTCTATAAGCCAGTAGCTCTCTGTGCTCAGTAGTAAGCGGATACAATACAATGGCGTTGAAAGCGAACGTTACTGAGTTCGCTTCCCAGAATAATCATCTGTTCTGGGATTCAGGTATATCCAGCTGACAAGTCTCAAATAGGGCGAAACATGCGTATTGGATTCGACTGCTACCCACTATCCATCTCTGCTCTTAATTTCATAACTCGTATGTTTAGAAATTTGATGCAAAGATGAATTAGCCAATAAAATATCACTTTCGACTGACTGTATGTTGATGTGTATATTCTAAATTTCTGTTAGATATTTGGTCAAAGTGTTTTTTTCTTTCAATAAAATGACGGATCTAATAGGAAGTTGTAGATATTTCAGGTACCAGTTACGATTGTAATCCTCGAGAGAGGAGAAAGTAAGTGGCGAAAATCAACTAATATTTCATTTGTAAGCGCAATCTTCGTCGCTGTATCACATATTAACTTGAGCTTCCTTTGTTCTATTGCACATTCATATATGTGTGTTGGCCTGCCTAGATTGTTATGGAGTTACATTCTAAACAAATAATTACGCTTCATGTAGTCTCTGAAAGTATGAGACCTCACTGTGTAGTCATAAAGTGTAACTTTATCATATTAACTCTCATCTAAGTAGTAAATACATGATTTCCTTGCCATATCGATGTCTTATCATCAATCCTACACACATTACCACTACTGAATATAATTGGATTTCTTTGTGAGAAATTTGTTTGATCAATACACACACTTTCATAGTTATACATATTCTTTAGAGATTTTTTTTAGTACCTAGTTTATGACATCCATTATCTATGTCATCGTTCACTGTGAAATTTAATTCACAAATAATGCATTTTATAAAATGATAGAATTATTAATGCTTTATTATACCTTCCTTTTTCGCTGATGCAGTTATTTGATTAAATGAAGCCAAATAAATATAAATTATTGTGTTGCTTGTATCTAAACAAAAATACTTTTCTGTAATTTTATTGCCTTCAAATCGATAATCACGAAATATCATGTGTTCTGTTTATGCACTAAATAATGATGGAGATCAATCACATTTTAATTGTTGTTTTATTTATTATTTAAGTAGTTATTGATTTTACCGTATGACTAATTCATGGATATTATAATTATTGCCATGTCATACACATATATTTAGATCTACCTGTGATAATGTTAGCGGTAATTGGTCTATAAAGATATTAACTATTTGTGTACATTTATTCTTAATCTATCTAATTATGAAGGTTTTACAACTAAATAAAAAATAATATGTTTACTTATAGTGTCTGCGAGTTAGTTCTGAAAGAAAATACTAATGAAATATTTCGTATTCATTTGATTTCTTATCAGTTGGTATGGTAACTCGGGTGCCATACTAAAATGATTATTGCGACTGCCTGTCAGTTGGATAGGAGTCCTCTGAACTTTTCCATAAATCGTGTTTATCTCAAGTTCCATCAGGTGTGCATGAAAATGGTAAATCCTTCAGTGAATAAGTGGTATATCACGAAATTGGTCCTAGTTATGTAGATATCATTTTTCAATGTTATTTTAAAAATATACGTTGTAGTGCTTTTGTTCATTTGATCTTATCATTCTGTAGGTTCATTTTATCATTTTAAAAAGTCTTCTAATTTCACTTATTTATTTATTACAAGTGTATTTTCCCGGGCTTCGAACCACACTTGTTTTGTGAGAATGTAAGATAGTATTCATAGTATAGTATGTAGTCAATCAACAACTTATTATTAGAAGTTTTGTTTAGATTTCCTTACATCCTTCTTGATGTAATACATACTACCAGTTTGATTTTTGTGATGAATAGTTCAGCTTATCTTGATTTTTTTTCTTTTAGTTGTCAGAGAGATGAAAGGAGCAAATCATATGCAACAAGTATCCACATCTGAGAAGCCTACAATTGCAATTATCACTAATTTGCTTTGTGAAAAATTAGCTGTAGATGCAATGATGGAACAGAAGACAACATTTGTTCGTTATAAATCTGAGGGTAATTACATGTATATTTATACATCCCAATATCTTTTCCTTTCTAATATTTTAGGGGAATCACATGTTTACACTATCGGGAACATAGGACCACATAAAGTCATTTCTACAAAACTACCTATGGTTGGACGTGAACTTCAAGCGAAAATTTCCTCTGGGAGTATTACAACTCGGCTGCTTGGTTAGTTTATTAATTATTTGTTTGTTCTCTCGGTAATATTTACTGGTTGACAAGATTACATGTTTATTCTAACTTTTTACTTGATAAGAATATAATATTTGTAGCTCACGTTTTTATTTTGAAGTGTGAAGGCAGTATCCTGAGCTTTGGGACAATAGTTGTTCTTTATATTAGAGTGGATAACTACTTCAAAGACATTTTCTCCATGGATAGAACGTTTGTAAACCCGCTTAACGGTTTTCTACGCTTTATCGTAGTCAGTGATCCTGTTCTAACCGTACAAATAACTAATGAAGTAAAGTTCTACATCGTAGAGACAAGGTTATATTTCTCCAAGTGTTTGTTTCGATAATAAGGGTGATTCATTGGTTTGTTCACATTCATTTTTCTAGTATGTGCTGTTATTCACGTAAATTATCCTCTCATTCTGCAGCCACAACTTTCTAATGTTGTTTGTTTAGTATTTCTTGAGGTGTTACAGACTATTTTTGTAGACTTTCGTTATTTACGGGTTATTATCCATTTCCTTGTGCATTGTAATTATTCCTATCTTTCCAAGACCTCTCCGTTTAAAATATCTGTTTAGATGATCATTCGTAATTCAGTGTTGTCATACAGTTATCACAACTGATCGCTTAACAAACATGGTCTATTTCATCACATTTCAACTTAAGGAAATTCGCTGGCAGATTTTTTAACATAGGGAATGGTTACAAATGCTGAAACACGATAATATCAAGTTTATGAATATCCTTATCATTATTTAATTGGAATATAAGATCGTACATTAAGGCTAGAATCTTATGCAAGTGTTGTGAAACGGGATTGATACATCAGCACTGTTGACTTTCAGCAACCATCTTTTAGTAAGACTCAGTCCATGCATTTTGAGTTTATTTATATTCCATTGAGGAGTAGGTGATAAAACTCTTATTTTTAATAACTATTAGTTAACATTACACGTGTGCTCCGTTTAATACAAATTTATATAGTCTTTTGATGTTAAAATAAACACGGCTTTCATTCTAGACCAGATAATTTCACTCTATAAACAAATAAGTTCTTTATTATTTATTTGCAAGCGAAAAGATTTTGCTATGTAATAACGGTCTCTTTTAATGATCAATATACGTAAATACAGGTAATTGAGATAAAGGTACATTAACAGAAAACGATAATCATTACATGTGATTGTATCTTCTTACTGACAGTGTTTTTCATCTCTTAAATGTCTACGCCCCACTATTATATCATAATGATTACTTAAACTCACCAACTGTGTTTTGTGGTACTTTCATATAATAAAACAGCTGTGTGGTTTATTAGAGATAAATCTTATATTCATCGCTATTAGATATTGCTGAAAAATGTATTTCATCAAGTACACATGCTTTTTTATTCTTTAGGAGCATTCCAAGCGGTGCAACATGTGTTTCTAGTAGGAGTTGGAGGTAGTGTACCTCACGTGTATGAATTTGAAAAACATTCTCGCCTGGGTGATATTGTAGTGAGTGCTGTGGCACGTTCAAGTGGATTGCATTCTTCAGCTATACACAACCATACAAATCATTCTGTATCGAATGATGTAGGAGACTCTATCTACATTTACTGTGATCGATTGATTGAACCTCCGGAAGATGCAGTTGATATGAAAACGCCAAGATTTGTCTTAAGAAAGTACGCTGCTCGAGATCCAACTTTATTGAGCTGTGTAGAGAAAGTCCTTGATCGCTTCGAAGCAGCTCCGGAAAAGTGTGAATGGGATCAGATTTTAAAGTCTGCTTTGACCGTACTAGGCGGAGAGGATGATCCCATTGATTTTGCTCGACCATCGCCTGATACAGACAAACTAAAACTTAAAGTAAGTCCCAAAAGTGTATATTTTGAGCAGGTAATAATTCCTGATGTTCTGTTGATGCTCACTTTGTTCCTACTGTTTAAATCTTTAAACTTGACAGATTTATGAATAATACTTCGAGACTATGCAAATTCACGGTGATAATATAGTGATGGAATCAGAATAATTAAAAAAAATAGTTAAATCATTACAATTACAAATTGCAATTCTTCTAATTAACATCCATTCACGTTCTTGTTTCAATTAACAGATAAGATCATTATTAGTCTAATCGATCAACTCGTGTCACGTGACCACTCGGTTGGTTATTGATCACTTACATTTCGATATTTTAATAATGTGATCTACCTATAGATTGTTCTCATGAAAGCGACCTGATGTCACTATGCATCGTGCACGGATTACTTTCATAGAATTATTGTTAAACTAAGATATTGCGCTGAGTCAGATGTGTTTGTTTCTGGTTTGAATGCAATGTTTACCAAGATTAATTAATAAAAACTGATATACTAAACTTTAACGATCATGTTTTATACAGATCAACGAAGGTGTAACATTCGATATCAAGCATCCGGATGTGCCTGAAGAACTGGCGCGTTTCTACCCGCCTGGCGTACCAGCCGTACGCCTTGGTTGTATGGGATCTGGCAGACCAGTTACAGATAATGACGCATTGATGAGTGACTTTGCTAAAGAACACCACCTACTATGTTATGATGCTGAATACGATCAAGTAAGTTTGTTACTGTCACTAATTTTCTTTGTTGTAAGTTAGTCATATGGTACACATGCTAAGCTGTTCTTTCAGATGATTGGATCGATGTCCAACTAACCTTGTTTTCTATATCTAATTTCAGGTTTTGGAGTCCGTTATGGGAAACGGTCTTGACTCGTTTATACTTATTCGTGGAATAGCTGACTATATGGAAGGGAGACAAGGTACACAGTGGCAACCTTATGCAGCACTTGCAGCGGCATCTTTTATGAAGTCTATAATTCTACAACTGCCGCTGATTCCAATCAACGGAGACTGATGCAAAGGCTTACCATATCCTAGGAAGTTCTTATATGCTTGACATAAAAACTACGTTAATTCACCATACATCACCTCTTGTACAGTTCGATATCTCCCACAGATATCAGTATGATTGCAACATAATTAACTTTCCATTCAACTTTATTTTTCTTCATCCCACATGTAAACAACTGAAATAAATTGCCATGTACTGTATGATATAAATATATTTAGTATCACTATCATTTTGGTTTTTAAATTCTATTATGTGCTGAAGCCAACGAAACATTTTACAAGAAGAAAAGTGATTAATAATAAGCTTTTGTGGAGATAATCATAGTACGGTACTCGGGTTGTCAGGGCAAGAAGAGGGAGACAAATCATAAATTGTTTGAACATACTGGAAATTTAAATACATTTAATAATAAAGTATAACCAATCCTAACAGTAAAGAGACTTGGTGAGATTGATCATCTCTTCATTTCGTCTTATGTACTAAGTGTTACATGAAAATTGAAAACCATCGTATAAAATTAAGAGCCAATAATACAAAAAAATGTAGCTAGCTTGGATGTATTTTGCATGTGATTTTTGAAATTGTTTTGTCGATTACATCTGAACTGTACATTAAAAGAAGCCGCATACTAACTGGAAAGACGGGTTGTGATTGTTCTCGAAATTACGGGGTAGGGGTAGTTGGTTGACCGGTTGTTAACATATACAGGGTTGTGTTGACGAGTTGATGTGATTGCTTATACAACTATCTCTGTATAGAAAAATACACGGTATGAACTTCTGATTTGCAGATCAAGCCTGAGAACGTATGGTGAAACTGTCAAATGCATATACTGATATGGCAGCTTCATGGGATTGAACGAGCTTTCTTGTAAATTAATATACAGGTGCTAAGATAAGGGAAATGAAAACATGTCTGTAATTTAAATTCTAAGATATATGGAATCCAAAATGACAGTCTATTCAAACAAAGTAAGCCATATGGTAGTGGATGTTGGTCAAGAAACCTCAGATGGTGATCATTAAATAAATCAGTTTACCATCACATTTAACATAAGAATATTGGTTCACACTAAGGTCTGCAGATCGACATAACGCTCGTTAATTTACGACGTAGAGGGTTCACGAGCCTTAAGTAAACAAGTTCATAAAGTATTTAAATACATCCCTCACATAATCACGCAAATGATACGATTTTTTGAGAAGTCTAAAATCAATCCTTAAATTCTATTCAATATCATATATGAGACAATAAGAAATCCAAGCTTTTTTATTTATTTATAAAGCAGTGGTATATAACTAGGGTCATAATAAAAAAGGTGAATAATTGCCACATATTTTATGAGTTGGAAGTTTTAGATTTCGTATTAACCAAACTTTAGTACTGTAAACAGATTAACTATGGGATATGAAATCCTAATAATCTGTTAATGCGAATAAAATAAAATAATACGAGCTTAAACTATGAGTACAACACAACGAACAGTTTCTCATTTACAGCTCAGTGTAGCTTTCCAAACAACAAGTTCATACAGCACACTTGCGAACTCTAGACTCAGGAATGATCATTTTTGTATGTACTTGTTATTTTAGCGGATTAAGACTGATTGACAGAAAGGCGCAATATTGATAAGAGTATGAAGACGAAAAGAGTTCAGTGTCACCCAGAAGTTAAACATTTATACAGGATATGCGAGAGCGGTTACAAACAGATAACTTTCAGTTATACGGTAAAGTCCGCAAAATTACATGTTCGTTTCCTGTACAAATCAAGACATTAGACGCAAGTGTATTGTCTCGATAATTTAATGTTAACTTTACATTCACACGTAATTTTTTTAGTTACTTAACATCATTTGAATTTAACCTTTCCATAAACAACTCCAATACACCTAACATCTAAGCAACAAATAATTTACTTCATATCGACTTATTTTCTTATAATTTATGTCTATTATCGATTTACAGTGTGGTATAATTATCCATCTATTCGACACAAAACGTGTTTTGGCAGGTCTTTTTTCTTCAAGTTTTCCTTCGAATTTAATAACTGTATCAAAGTTTGTTCTGAAAAACAATAGTTTGTGTAAATGCTTACCCGAAGCCACGACTGTTTTGGATTTATTAGGATGGGAGGAACTCTGCACGGCTGTGTCGCCAGTCTGAAGGACGCTGTCCACTGGAGCTAGAGAACGACGTACTGCTACTCGAAGATCCGCCGGAGACTCCTGATGATCCAGAAATCCTCGCAGATGCACCAATAACAGCAGCATTGTCGATTCCGAGGTTGGCAGTTTCGATGTCGAAGGCGCGCAGAGCTTCGGCGTGGCGTTCCATCAGACGCCTTGTCTTTCTTCGAGACTCCTCCTTGGTTGACTCAGCATTTTTTTTCATCTAAAGTAGAGAAAAACTATGTAATAGGGTGGTTTGTGAAATAAAGTACATTTAAAAATGACATATTATACTAGAACCATTTAGAATTCTCAAGAGATTCAGTGATGATATCTGGAATATACTGAATAGAATTATCTTAAAAAATTAAGATGCTGATTTCAATTTAGCAATCATTAGTTTGCTGACTTTATGTACATTCTGTTTTTTATCGCAAATTGTTATCAGCTGGAGAAATAAGACAGGATATAATATTTGCTCCCAGTTTTCAAGTTTTTAGTAGCATTTTTCTTTGTCATCATCATCCTGGACACCGAGCTACTACGAAGATATTACCATCTAGCTACTGTTTTATAATCGAATAGTATTTTCAAATTATTATCAGTTAGTGTTGCCACTGATAATACATTATATATAACCTGAGAAGCAAAACCTAAGATTAAAGAAATATTTACACGACAAAAATCATAATAAAAGAATATCCGGTAAATTCTATGTAAATAAAATCATTTTTGACAGAATTATCACTTCTAGATGAGATATAGCAATTCAAGATGCTACACAATGACCTTTGATAACACTTCAATGGACAAGTTGTGTGTCGTTGCAACACTTGCTTAGATTCCGTAACCTATAATAGGATTATGTATTTAATCACATTTCAGATGTAAGTTATATATATAGTGCATTTGTTGCAATAAATTGCTTAGAACCTAGTAGGTAATTTTTAGTCTGCATGGGTCAAGAAATAGTAGGGGTATTTATCATTAGTTTCTTACAAAAAGTTAAATAAACCATATGACCATACTCCGTGAGCGATTAATAAACGACAAAAATTAAATGAACATATAGAAAGCAGAGTGCTTCGCAACAACTGAACGCATATAAAATAGAAACTAGACAACGCACCGCAGCTTCCAGTGATTCTTTCCGGGCACGAATTCTATTCTCTAAATCCTCTCTTTGGCGTTGATGCTGTTTGAGCATATCACGCCGTTGTTTCTCTTGAAAATTAGAAAGAATTTTGACTCCTTCTAAACGACTTTCTTTAAATTCTTTATTCTCGCGAGCATGTGTTGTTTCAACTTTATCCTAGAGACGGTAGCAAACAGGTGATAAGGAAAATCATTTAAAGGTACATCAAATAAAAAATAATTCTGAAATGCTGTTAGGAAAGTCGTTTAAAACTATGGCTGAAAAACACTAGACTTATAATAGTTGTGATAATTCCCTATTCTGGCACTAAATATATATTTTTATGACTTTTGTATATATGTAAAGCATTTTATCCGAATTTTTCAACCTTTTAACCAATTCACTTTGAAGGACAGTAGCTAGAATAATGTTGTTATTTAGCACAGTCAGATACATTGTTTATAACAGATGACTGCTTCGTTAGAAGTCTCATTAGGACTGAAAACAATTAACTTCTTAAAGTATTAATGATACCCTTTGAGGTTATGGTAGATAAAATCGAATCATTTAAAATGACCTTTAGTATACTTTCGTCATTTCTAATAAGGTTTGATACCGTCTCCTACATATAACGGAAGCTATAGGAATCCGAACCTATAACCCCAGTTTATGTGTCCAGAAAAAATTCGTGACACCCTTGTCCATGCCTTGGGTGGATATGATTTAATAAACGATTTTTTCACAGCCCGTATTTGTTTGTAATATTTCACCTCACCGTTTACATTTTTCAATACCTAATTATATACACACTTCTTATTACGTAATTCGTTTTGTGATTATTATTTTAAAGCCTATTTATCCAGGTTTGGCCTACTTTCTGTATTGCACCAGAGCTTATGTTATTTTATTATCCCTATCTCTGCTAGTACATGTGTTTTATTACCATCAATTTGTACTTTTTACCTATTATTTGTAGTTATGCAATCTATTTCATTATGATCATTAACTAATAAATTGCCTTGAATGGTTTAATATTTTCATATGAATATCTATGTATATTAAAGCTTGGTGGCGATTTAGTTGAAAGCAACATTATTCACGTTTAGATGTTCTAATTAATTTTTAATGAGGTAAGGAATAGGATGAATTCAACACGAAATTCTGAGATCATTTGTATTTTCTGAAATTTTTATGAACTTCAGTATAGTATAAAAATAAACAAAATAGACGTATTATACTAATCATATCACTTATTTAGAATACACAATTAAGTACAATATGCATCTCATGTTACTGAATGGTTATTGATTTTGTAATTAACAGAACACTAAACAAGAATATCATGTGCTTATTGAAGGAAACAAGAGGAAGCGGAAGACATCATCCTTCCATGTATTAGTGCACGACAGTATGTATTCCGACCTAGAGTTTATAAGTTTTTGAAAAACATATGGTATCCAATGCAAAATTCTCAAAATGAAACCAGGGAATAATAGGATTAAACATCATTTTTGTAAAACAAAATAAATTGTAATTATAGCCTTGGTGCTATTTTTAAAAGCAGATATCTAAATACCTAAGAGACTTACAAGAGCATTACAATTCAGTCATAAAAACACACATCAGTCTTCATTTTCTGCTAAGATGTATTATGAACAATGAAAACATTACCCAGTCAGTCAGTCAGTAACAACGTAGAACTTCGTACGTACGTACATCAGTTCGAGTTGCCACACCACCTTAACACAGAGATGCAGTTGTCGATCCAAATCCCGTAGTGGTAGAGGTAGAAAGAGTGTAAGCAGTGATCGGGAAGATTAGGGTTTGGAGATGTTATTTAAAGAGTATAATTCAGTGGAATAAATTTGGAAAGAGGAAAAAAACGACATGAAGAATTCAGAAGATTAGAATTTGGGAGAACACAAAGAGTGGATGCACCTGCGCCATTGCAAACGATTTTGAGCCATGTCATTCAGGGTCTCTAACCATCGGTTGCTATCATCTCGCGGTCCCCAACCAGGTAGTCTACACCTATTAACATGACTCAGACCACTTGTCAGTGACTTCATGGACTTGAGCCATGTTTTGGTCTGGCCGCCCCTAGCTTTCTTCCAACCTACTCCTATACCAATGAACATCGCACGTCGAGGCAGTCGGTCGTTGGGCATACGTAATACGTGTCCCAGCCATCTCAACTGATGAAGTTTCACTACTTTATCAATTGATTTGCCATCCTTACCTAGTACCCGTTTCCTAACAACTGTGTTAATTACTCGATGGTCCCAGGATATACGAACAATGTTTCGAAGACATCTATAGTCGAATACTAGTAACTTACGAATATCATCTACTCTTACCGGCCATGTTTCACTGCCATAAAGTAGGACGGGACGTACTGCTGCGCAGTAAACACGTCCTTTGGTTGATAGACGGATATCTCGCCTACGCTATAAATGACGCAAGTTGGCAAAAGCTAGTCGAGCCTTCTGTATCCGTGCTGAGATTTCGTCACACACCAGACCACAAGGGCTGATGAGACTTCCAAGATAAGTGAAGCGGTCGACACACTCAACTACTTCACTGCCTATCACTAGTTCGGGTGTCGATGTAACCCAATCCTGAAGCAACATTTTGCATTTCGAGGGAGAGAATCGCATCCCGAACATGCTTGCATTGTTGCTTAGAGTGGTCAGAAGACTGCATTTTGTCAGCAAAACATCACCCATTCAAATTAATGAAAGTATGTCGACGTTTGTTTGGCATCAGCATACGTAAGTGTTTGCATTTTTTAAGAAATGCATTGGCGTGTCACAAAAACAATAAACTATATGATAATTAACTAAATTCATACAGTAACTTTAATGATTGATTTACATTATTGAAAGACAAAAGAGTGGACTTACATTTTGACGCTCATGTAGTTCACTAATACTTTTATTGTACTGTGCCTCTAAATCAGCCTGTTTACGTTTCTCCTCCAATTTAAGATTTTCCAAAATCTGGCGTTCATCTTGTAGATGTATAACAAATTGACCTTGAAGATCAACGGAATCTGAACAATTATTAGGATTTGATGACATTAATCCAGACGAAGGGCAGGATTCTGACGCTCCTGAAAAAGGAGAGGATCCTAACTCTGAAGTTCGACGTGCAGCCTTTAAACGGTCTTCACGTAAAAGTTTGAATTGCTTTTTCTGAATCCGAGCAGCATCACGAAACTGTTTACGAATTTGTAATTCTTTTTGCTAAACAAAGAAATCATACCCAATAAAGCTAGCACACAACAATATAAATAAATAGTCAAAAAAATCTTTGTAATCTTTTCTAGAATAATCACAGAAATATCCGGTACATCAAAACTACGGTTAAAACCGTAGGCAAAATTTACAAATAAACAATACAAAAACAATGATGGATCAAATCTAGGTTATTACGCTCATACTAACACAGGAAGATTGAGTTAGAAAGGACTCGAGATTTAAATTTCTCCCACGACAGATAAGTCATTTAGCTCAGATTAATAATCCAAGACTTAATTAACGGGTATCATGTATCGACCTGCCCTTTGTTTTTTCTGTACCCTCATGCCAGGTTACGTCACCTACGGCGAAGGCGAGATATCCGTCTATCAATTAAGGGACGAGTATACTGTGCAGCAGTTCGTTTATGGCCGCAAAACGTGGCCAATTAAGGGTAGAGGATACTCATAACTTCAGTCAGTCAGTCTACAAAGTAGGACCAGGCACATATGTACATCGATTCGAGTTGTCATACCTCATTAGCACAACAAGATGAACACCAAGTTCATAGAAGCAGTTACTTCAATGGTAGTAATATATAAAGGAAAGATTCTATATAAGGATATGATATAGGGAGAAAAAATTAGTTCGTCGAAAGAAAGATATAGAACAATTTTAATCTCAGTTTAAGGGAAAACAAGGAGTGTATACACCTACGCCATTATGATCGATTCTGAGCCATGTCACCAAGAGTCTCCAACCATTGGTTACGATAGTCACGCGGACCACAACCAAGTGGTCTGTATCTACCAACATGGTTCAGACCAGAAGTTAGTGACTTTACAGACTGATGCTACGTTTTGGTTTGACCACCCCTAACTTTCCTCCAACCATACCCTACACCAGTCAGCGTTGCGCGCCGTGGTAGTCGGTGGGTCGGCATGCGTAACGCGCGGCCCAAACATCTCAGTCGATGAAGATTCACAACCTCATCAACTGACTTACCACCTTTCCCTAATAACCTGCGTCTATACTCGTAAGTTACGGATATGTATTATTTTATTTATTTATTTGAACATATAAATATTGGTACAAGAGGGCACCAAATATATCTGCGTCATACCATATTTGTATGTGGGCTGTGATACTACCCGGGTGCCCAGACTGAAGCAGGTGGTTTCCTAAGGGGGTCACACCCCTCATCTGCTGGGATCACCGGGTAAGTAATCATGAGGTTAGACGCAAGGTATTTATTAACAAAGCGCAGGATATAAGGGATTTTCCAACAAGTATTATGAAAAATGTCTGTAAATCAGACTATCAGATATCACACGTATTTACAAACTAACCTTCAGATATTTTGGTAGATTCTTTGTTTCTTCACAATGTCTCTTTTGTAATCCAACCTCAATGCGCTTAAAATATTGATGCAAATTTTCCATTTCGGCTTCATGTTGACTTTGAAGCTGATTAATGCGTAGGTCTTGAATCCGTTTTAACTGGTTAATTTCTAAATTTTCGAGTTCTGTGTGCTGTCTGAGTAACAACGAAGTAATCTCTTCAGCTGCCTTCTGTTGTAGGCGTATATATTGTCGTAATTGTTCCATCTAGCGTAAGTACGAAGAACGTGATATTAAGAAAAATAGATAAACAAGTTAGGACCAGGGATAAATATTGTACAATTCAAGTTGTCCCATTTCACACTAGTAAGTAGTGAAAGGAAGTCAACAAGAAAAAAAGCAAAGATGTAGAAATAATCGTTAACAATCACGATTATACCAACAGTACAAGCAAATCAAAGGAGAAAAAGAAATCATAATTAACGGAAATAATTGTATATAATGCTCAAGATGCTAATTCAAATTAACTTCTTTTGAACAGTATCAATAATGTATCCAACATAAAATCACAGTCTGAGCTGACGGGTAGAGTCACTACCACTGACAAAAAAGATGTGACTACAGGTCGAGCGAAAAACAATAAACTTGTTGACGGAGTTATATAGGAAAATCTCGTCGAGACGATTTGAATGGTCTGGATTTGACTAACCAGTTCAAATCAACAACGGACAATTCAGTCGGGTAGCACTGTCTTAAATTAGTTGTCCTTAGGCTTTTTATAATTTAATACTATACTAAGTTAGAATAACATTTCGGGTTAAGAGATGGTTGGGGATGTGTAGTAAATGTCTAAACCAGCTTAGTCGATGAAAGGCTTATAACAACGACGACCCCACCTAACTTTTAGGACAAATAATCCGCGTTTTTTAAACCCATTATAATCAATCAAGAAAATAAAAAAGGTATCTATCACCTTACCTCGATATCCTGTAATTGTGTGAGGAGAAGACGCTTTGTCTTACGCGTTTCCAATGTCGACACATCATGCCGTCGCTTCCGAATAGCCTCTAATGGGTTGGAATGTCCGCTGGAATCAGAGTCATGTGAACTAAAAGATCCAAATGGAGATTTTTTGGCCGACTTTAGTTCACTTTTCGTTTCAGTTTCAAGTTGACGTGCTAATTTTGATTCAACTGACATCGCTCTTTTGCGCTCTTTTTCTATTTCAGCGGCATGGATTTCTTCTAATCTCATGAACTCTTTTCTCATTGCTAACTTTGTTGCTTCATAGTCACGATTCAGTCGTGATTTGAGTGATTCCTCCTCAACCTATAGAATGAAAAACAGCCCAAGACATATGTATGTACCCCAAAAACTATTTCAATTATTTATCGATGTTAATCAACCTGTACCTTAAGCTGTAAATTTCGAAGCAAACATGATATGGAGATTGGAAATCATATGTTAACAATATATTGAGATCACAACAAAACAGCTCAAAATAATAAAAAAACACGACAACCTTTGTGACAATAATAATAATAACATATACAAGACTCATTTCATAAAGATAAAACTACTAAGCACAAATCGACTATGAAATCCCAGTATTTCAAGCACCCTGAATCAGTTTGGTCTTTTATTAAAAACACTAATAATAATTTGTACAAACAGTACTTCAAACACACTTATGTATTTCAACATCAACTTATTATTATCTAGCAAAGCAATTCCTTAAAAAAAATACGGATACAAACGAAATAGGATAACTGAAAAATTCTCCAAGAAACTTAACTGTGACGGCTGAACTGATTTAAAATTCGCAGTTTTCGTTATCGTACAAAATAGATCAGTCACAAAACAAATATCAAATGGATAATAAATAATATATTCGCACAAGTTAAAACACAAACCTTATTTTTATCCTCAACTTGTTTTAGGTGTTTATTATGTTGATTTCGAAGTCGTTTAAGTTCATTCATTTGATCACGCCAGTTAGCCATCCCTCTCCCATAACCCTGTTGCGTGAAGCCAAGAGCAACAGCAGCAGCTGAATTTGAAGCATCTGGTTCTAAAGACAGACCTCTCATCATCTGGGTAGTTTTTAGTGTTGCAAAATGACCAACAGAAGTTGACGTGTCCGCTGGAGAGTTTATTTCAACAGAAGCTATACGGGAGGTTTCAGTGATCATACCCGAATCATTATGAGAAGTAGTTGAGAAGCGACTGAAGCTTTCAGTTTCTCCTTTAATTAAATCTGTCTTTGTCGGGGTAACAGAAGAAACCACAGTTTCGGAGATTGTGCCTTACCATAAGAAAAAAGTAAACGTTTACAAATAGAAAACATAGAAAAATGTTTTTGTTGATACACTGTATTCTAATATACAATTACATGATAGAAATATGGATTAATATGATCAAACTCATCAGGTAGAATAAAACGAATTTACAAAGACAACTGGTTTGTTTAACGATTTATTTGTTGTAGACGGCTGTAGACGGACAACTTACCAAATAATTGATAAAAAACAAGTTGTACAATTGCTTACTTACTAAAATACGCCTGTGACACATGGCAGAGTAGTATAGACTGCCCAACAGTACTCTCCATCCAACACTATCCTGGACAGTCCTTTCCAGTTTTTCCAGTTGCTATTCATCCTCGTGTCTGCTTATTCTTGACGTAGTGTTTCTTCGACCTTCCTCTTTTCCGTTTCCCTTCAGGATTTCAAGTTAGCACTTGCTTCGTGATGCAGTTTGACGATTTCCGTAATGTATGTCCTATCCACCTCGAATGTCTTTTCCTAATTTCCTATTCAGATAGAAGCTGATTTATTCTCTTCTAAAGTAGGATGTCGCTGATGGTATCCGACCAAAGGACATTGAGTATCTTGTGTAGATAATTATTTATCAATGCTTGTACATTTTCGATGATGGTTATGGTAGTTCTCCAAGTTTCAGCTCCGTACAATAGAACTATCTCGACGTTCGTATTGAAGACTATGACTTTAATATTGGTTGACATATGTTTTGAGTTCCATATGTTCTTCAACTGTAGGAATGCGGCCATTGTTTTGCTAATCCTTGCCTTTACGTCTGCACCAGATCCTCCTTGTTCATCGATGATGCTGACCAGATACGTGAACGTTTCTATCTGTTCCAGGGCTTCTTCGTTAAGTGTGATTGGTTCGGTGTTCTCCGTGTTGTGTTTGGGGAGCTTGCTTTTTCTCTTGTGTATGCTGAGGCTGCTGCTACACTGGCTGCCTTGGTTTGAATTTGTTCATGTGTAGGGGGTCGAAGAACTAGGTCATCTGCGAAGTTCAAATCGTCTAGTTGCATCCAAACTGTCCATTGTATTCCGTGATTTCCCTGAGATGTCGAGATCTTCATAATCCAGCTAACTACCAGAAGAAATAAAGAGGAGGAGAGTAAGCAGCCTCGTATGACACCGGCCCTCACTTGTAATGCATCTGTGAGCTGTCTTCTATGCACGACTTTGCAATGTAGTCCGTCGTATCGACTCCGTATAATGTTGACTATCTTGTCAGATACACCATAGTGTCAAAGAAAGTTCCATAAGGTTCTTCTATCCATGCTGTCAAACGCTTTCTCATAGTCAAGGAAGTTGGTGTATAGTGACGAATTCCATTCAGTTGGTTGTTCAACGGTGATCCGTAGTGTGGCGATTTGGTCTTTGAAAGATCGATCCTTACGGAATCCAGCCTGCTGATCCTAAAGTTGAGCGTCTACTGAGTCTTTCATCCGGTTCAGCAACACTGTTGAAGACGTTTCCTGGTACTGACAGTAGTGTGATGCCTCTGTAGTTCTCACGCTTGCTCAGACCTTCTTTCTTTGGTATCTTGATGAGCAATCCTTATTTCCAGTCCGTCTGTGACACTTGTTCCTCCTCCCAGCTCTTCCTGTGTGTGACTTCAGTGCTTCAGCTGGTACATTGTCAGGTCCTCCTGCCTTCCCACTCTCGACGTGTCTGATGATCATCCTGATTTCTTCGGTCGTTGGTGGTGTCATCTGTAAGAAGGTCTGTATATGCTGCTTCGATGTCTGTCGGATTCAATGGAACTGGTCTATTTAAGAGTTCCTCGAAGTATTCTACCCATCTGTCCCCCTATTCTTGAATCTCGGTGATTGTTTTGCCTTCTTTGTCCTTGATCGATCTCTCTAGTTTGCTATATTTCCCTGCTAGTTTCTTTGTTGTGTCATCTAGTTGTCTCATATTTTCTTCTCTTGAAGCTTTTCCGCTGTCGTTGCTAGTTCCTCAACTATTTCTGCTTGTCGGCTCTAATGCTCCCCTTCACTTGCTTGTTTGCTTCTGTGTATTCAGCCTATGTTTTGACTTTCTCTGTTCTTGGTCGATTGCTTTTAATTGCTGTCTTCTTGTTCTTCTTTGATTCCTTTCCTTTGATTCAGCTTATGTTTTTACTTTCTCTGTTCTTGTTCGATTGCTTTTAATTGCTGTCTTCTTGTTCTTCTTTGATTCCTTTTCAATTGTTCGCCATCATAGTTTCTTCTTCGAGTAGGTCTTGTAATGTTCGGAATCTTCTGTTGAGAGTTTTCTTGAACTGGTTGAGTTTGTTAGTATATCACAGGAATTCTGTATTGAACCTTTGTACTGCTGTTTCCACAGACGTCCAGTGTTTCTTTAGCTTCAGTTTCATCATGGCCACAAGCAGCTGATGATCTGAAGCTATGTCAGCTCCCCTCCCTCCTGATTCTCACATCTCCCATTGTCCTTCTGAACTTTTTATTGTTACAAATATGATCTATCTGGTTTTCTGTGGTGCGATCCGGTGAGATCCATGTAGCTTTGTGTATACGATTGTATGGGAATATTGTGCCGCCTATAACCAATTTGTTGGGTGCACACAACCCGACCCGGGTTGTGAATCGGTCGACGTCTTAACAGAATGCTGTTACTGTGCTATTTATACGTCCGACGATCATCCGTCAGTCAGTAACAACGTAGAACTTCGTACGTACGTACATCAGTTCGAGTTGCCACACCACCTTAACACAGAGATGCAGTTGTCGATCCAAATCCCGTAGTGGTAGAGGTAGAAAGAGTGTAAGCAGTGATCGGGAAGATTAGGGTTTGGAGATGTTATTTAAAGAGTATAATTCAGTGGAATAAATTTGGAAAGAGGAAAAAAACGACATGAAGAATTCAGAAGATTAGAATTTGGGAGAACACAAAGAGTGGATGCACCTGCGCCATTGCAAACGATTTTGAGCCATGTCATTCAGGGTCTCTAACCATCGGTTGCTATCATCTCGCGGTCCCCAACCAGGTAGTCTACACCTATTAACATGACTCAGACCACTTGTCAGTGACTTCATGGACTTGAGCCATGTTTTGGTCTGGCCGCCCCTAGCTTTCTTCCAACCTACTCCTATACCAATGAACATCGCACGTCGAGGCAGTCGGTCGTTGGGCATACGTAATACGTGTCCCAGCCATCTCAACTGATGAAGTTTCACTACTTTATCAATTGATTTGCCATCCTTACCTAGTACCCGTTTCCTAACAACTGTGTTAATTACTCGATGGTCCCAGGATATACGAACAATGTTTCGAAGACATCTATAGTCGAATACTAGTAACTTACGAATATCCTCTACTCTTACCGGCCATGTTTCACTGCCATAAAGTAGGACGGGACGTACTGCTGCGCAGTAAACACGTCCTTTGGTTGATAGACGGATATCTCGCCTACGCTATAAATGACGCAAGTTGGCAAAAGCTAGTCGAGCCTTCTGTATCCGTGCTGAGATTTCGTCACACACCAGACCACAAGGGCTGATGAGACTTCCAAGATAAGTGAAGCGGTCGACACACTCAACTACTTCACTCCCTATCACTAGTTCGGGTGTCGATGTAACCCAATCCTGAAGCAACATTTTGCATTTCGAAGGAGAGAATCGCATCCCGAACATGCTTGCATTGTTGCTTAGTGTGGTCAGAAGACTGCATTTTGTCAGCGTCTTCGCCAAATAAAACTATGTCATCAGCATATTCTAAGTCAACAAGTGAACCTCCCAGTAGAAGTTCAACCCCTATAAATTTAGATGAGGATAGTGTTATCTCTAAAAGTACGTCGACAACAAAGTTGAACAAGAATGGAGAGAGTGGATAGCCCTGACGAACACCACTTGATGTAATCAATTCTGATGATAGTTCGCCATAAGCTCTCACTCTACCAGTTGTGTTCGAGTAGAGAGCCTGAATAAGGTTAATGTACTTCTTTGGTACTCCTTTCAGTGACAAACACTGCCATAGAACCTCACGATCAATAGAGTCGAATGCCGCCTTAAGGTCGAGAAATACTACCATTGTGGGGCGTCTAAACATGTGTCTGTGTTCTAGAACCTGACGTAGTGTGAATATCTGATCTATACAACCACGTCCAGGTCGAAAACCAGCATGATTTTCTCTAGTCTGCTCTTCACGAGCTTTGATTAGGCGTCGAAGTATTATTGAGGCTAATATTTTAGACACTATATTAGTCAAACTGATTCCTCTATGATTGTCACAAGAAGACTTTTGTCCTTTCTTATAGACTGGCACAATCAGTGATTGAGACCAGTCAGATGGGATTACGTCCAGTTCCCAAATTCTACCTAAGACCTCGGTTAATCTCATTGCTAATACTGGACCACCATCCTTAAAAATCTCAGGAGTAAACCTGTCAGGACCTGCTGCTCTCCCTCGTTTCAGATTTCCTATGGCTTTTTCAACTTCGTAAAGAGACGGAGGACCTACATTAACTTGCCATTCAGGTTGACTGGGGAACGTGGGAAACCGAAGTGTGGCTGAAGGCCAGTTGAACTGATCCCTGAAGTGTTCTGCCCATCGATCCAATCTCCTGGATTGGGAATGAATAATATGTCCATCTTTCTCTGAGATTGTTTCGCTAATGGTCCGGTTCCTAATTCCGGTTTCCTTAACGAGTTTGAACTATTGTCTGCTATTACCTATTGCCGCTGCCTTTTCCATCTCTCTTGCTTTCGCTACCCACCACTGTTCGCGATCATTGCGTAGACATCTTGTCAGCTTGCGCTTAAGCTGACTCCGCTCTTCACTATGTTCAGAGTCAGGTGGAATGAGTTTCCGAGCATCCGACGATCATAGATGCTAATGTTTCAGATATTACATCAATCACATTGATTTTTCTAAGATTATCACAAGAGGAGTTTTGTCCGTTTTTAACTGAGACGATAAGGAATCGGGAATAGTAAAATTGGGCCTCATTCAACTTTAAGCCTTAAATGAATCGTATCCATTTCGACACTCCCGGTTTATCATCCTAAAAGAGCTCTGGAATCAAACTATCACTCCACCTCCGTCAGAATATACGGCATCGCCTTCGGATTCTACATTTGTTATTTTTGACCTTAAAGATATCCCACCAATACATCTGGTGGGATTTCAATCAACAAACTATTTACGGCAAGACAGTCCGACGGGGTCTTTGATTTAGAGTATCCTCCACTGCGCAATTCAAATCAACATGACAGATCTGTCAACAACACACACAAATAACATAAGGTAAATGAATAAAAATCGAGCCACATTCAATAAAACGTCATGTATATCATGAAACACTAAATTAACATTCATCAGTGAGTCAGAATAAGTAGTTAAATCTTATCTCAGTTACCGCACACTTGTCAACCAAGTTCTCATTTCCAATTGTATTTACCTTTAGTTTCCGCACAATGAATACTTTGATTATGGATAATATCAGATTATCCCACTTTTAGCAATCAGATTTATTAGTTAACAATAAAGATCTAATATTTGACTTACCGCGGTGCCCCAATTGACTGTTAGAATCAACTAAGATTGAATGATACACATGATTGTCGGTACTGGACTCCATATTAGCGTATAAATGACTGTTGATTTGGACAAGACGCGGATTTTGAGGATGTTGAGTTATACTAGAATCCCCTTCGCTTAGTCTGTGTGAGCTCGATCGATTAGGCAAAGGTGAAGGTTGTGTTCCATTAAAATCGAATGAACCACCATGTCCACTATCCGGATCGAATGTACGAGACTATTAAGTGAAAAAATAATGGACAAACAAATAAGATAGTCCACGTAAACTAAATATTGCCTCACTCAAGATCATAACTCTCGTACATGCATTTCCCACTTCTTCAGGTTGGTAGGTACGATATAGTTTTCAGGACAATAATTGGTGTCCAAAATGCATTCGGTGGTTCTAATAATATGTGTGAGATATATGTCACTAATTTAATAGGGTGAAATTTACAGATTTAGAAGGAATATTGAAAACAATTAAGGATCCTGAATCACTGGTAATTAATATAAGACCTCAGTTATCAAATGTTAATAAATACTGAATTAATATAAAGTATATGACAGTAAAATTTTTCGGAAACCAGCTTTAAGTATGGGGTTTCAGAGTTAACTACTGACTAGATCGAATTTACACGTGCGAAGACCGGTGTAAACGTTGAAATATATATCATTATTAGATAAGTTTGAATTATCCCGTTACAGATATTTTGACAGAATTTTGATCAGTCTTGGTTAGAATATGTGGATTCTGAAAGGATTACCTGGATATAACTATTTTAAAATATCCATTACTGCATAGATGAACTCATTAGCTAAGTGGACAACACGTCCAGAATTTCAAGAGACAGATGATGGATTTGAGTCCCGGTGTGAAAATGAAAAAGAAGAAACTAGGATGGATGGGAAAATCAAAGAAGTAATAACTTCAATGTTTCAGGAGGTGCTGAGCCGCGACAAGCATCCTCACAAGGAATAGATCTCCATAGAAACTTTGGACAATATTCAAGAAAGGAAGAACAAGACAAAAATTAACAACAATCGAACAAGAACAGAGAAAGTCAAAACATAGGCTGAATACACAGAAGCAAACAAGCAAGTGAAGGGGAGCATTAGAGCCGACAAGCAGAAATAGTTGAGGAACTAGCAACGACAGCGGAAAAGCTTCAAGAGAAGAAAATATGAGACAACTAGATGACACAACAAAGAAACTAGCAGGGAAATATAGCAAACTAGAGAGATCGATCAAGGACAAAGAAGGCAAAACAATCACCGAGATTCAAGAATAGGGGGACAGATGGGTAGAATACTTCGAGGAACTCTTAAATAGACCAGTTCCATTGAATCCGACAGACATCGAAGCAGCATATACAGACCTTCTTACAGATGACACCACCAACGACCGAAGAAATCAGGATGATCATCAGACACGTCGAGAGTGGGAAGGCAGGAGGACCTGACAATGTACCAGCTGAAGCACTGAAGTCACACACAGGAAGAGCTGGGAGGAGGAACAAGTGTCACAGACGGACTGGAAATAAGGATTGCTCATCAAGATACCAAAGAAAGAAGGTCTGAGCAAGCGTGAGAACTACAGAGGCATCACACTACTGTCAGTACCAGGAAACGTCTTCAACAGTGTTGCTGAACCGGATGAAAGACTCAGTAGACGCTCAACTTTAGGATCAGCAGGCTGGATTCCGTAAGGATCGATCTTTCAAAGACCAAATCGCCACACTACGGATCACCGTTGAACAACCAACTGAATGGAATTCGTCACTATACACCAACTTCCTTGACTATGAGAAAGCGTTTGACAGCATGGATAGAAGAACCTTATGGAACTTTCTTTGACACTATGGTGTATCTGACAAGATAGTCAACATTATACGGAGTCGATACGACGGACTACATTGCAAAGTCGTGCATAGAAGACAGCTCACAGATGCATTACAAGTGAGGGCCGGTGTCATACGAGGCTGCTTACTCTCCTCCTCTTTATTTCTTCTGGTAGTTAGCTGGATTATGAAGATCTCGACATCTCAGGGAAATCACGGAATACAATGGACAGTTTGGATGCAACTAGACGATTTGAACTTCGCAGATGACCTAGTTCTTCGACCCCCTACACATGAACAAATTCAAACCAAGGCAGCCAGTGTAGCAGCAGCCTCAGCATACACAAGAGAAAAAGCAAGCTCCCCAAACACAACACGGAGAACACCGAACCAATCACACTTAACGAAGAAGCCCTGGAACAGATAGAAACGTTCACGTATCTGGTCAGCATCATCGATGAACAAGGAGGATCTGGTGCAGACGTAAAGGCAAGGATTAGCAAAACAATGGCCGCATTCCTACAGTTGAAGAACATATGGAACTCAAAACATATGTCAACCAATATTAAAGTCATAGTCTTCAATACGAACGTCGAGATAGTTCTATTGTACGGAGCTGAAACTTGGAGAACTACCATAACCATCATCGAAAATGTACAAGCATTGATAAATAATTATCTACACAAGATACTCAATGTCCTTTGGTCGGATACCATCAGCGACATCCTACTTTAGAAGAGAATAAATCAGCTTCTATCTGAATAGGAAATTAGGAAAAGACATTCGAGGTGGATAGGACATACATTACGGAAATCGTCAAACTGCATCACGAAGCAAGTGCTAACTTGAAATCCTGAAGGGAAACGGAAAAGAGGAAGGTCGAAGAAACACTACGTCAAGAATAAGCAGACACGAGGATGAATAGCAACTGGAAAAACTGGAAAGGACTGTCCAGGATAGTGTTGGATGGAGAGTACTGTTGGGCAGTCTATACTGCTCTGCGATGTGTAACAGATGTTAGGAGAATGTGACCATGAAGATTGGGATTTAGGTATATCCAACTGTAAAGGCAAGAATAGTACGAAATGCACGTCCTGGATTTAATTACTAGCTACAATCCATCTATTTAAGCTGATATTCTTAAAACCATTCACATTATGTTTGTAATTTATGAAAAATAGAAAAGATCATTGTCTTAGAGCCGACTGTACACGTGCTTTATTTTCTCCAGACATCTGATCGTAGTTTATCAGTAATTTGTCCGAACCTATTTTCTTAAGTATCAGTGAAATTTCTTATTATTGTACATAGGAAAACTGCATTAGATAACTTGTTGGAAATATGTAAATCTCTTTACAAATGGATGAAATGGGTTATTTATTTAATCTCCTCGGCTAAACACTACTGGACAGTTTTATCACAGTTGAGTTTGAACATATGTTTGTAATATCGCAGTTAAAATTAAACATACCGGTGAGTTTTCATTTGAAATTCCAGATACAGAGTGTTTGGGGGGTATATACACATGTCTCTGACCAGGACTATTGCAGCTATCAGACAGATCACTGCTAGCGCTACCCACGCTGTTCGAACAACTATCACCCTAGACAGAGTAAAAAATTAATGAGTGAATACATTACGTTATTATTCTCCCTCCATATAAAACTCTAAAGACAACTTGAAATCCATGCGTCGATAAAATTCGACCTTAAACTGTCCAATTTACTCATTTTGATGGATGACATTTCGGAAAATGTGTAGGGGCAGTGCAGATCTGTTATTTGAAAAGATTTTATCATCTCACTGTGTGATTAGGTAGATGCTACTATCTAAAATGCTAGAAGTTGGAGCATGGACTCATGTGTGATAAGACGTGAAAATTAAGCGAGTGGTTCGTGCATCTGGGTAACTGTGTAACTTATAGGGCTATAGACAAGATCAATAATCATATAGTAGTGAAAGCCACGGTAATTTATACAGATCTAGGAGGCTCACAACGCTAACGTGACTGTATTTTATTAAACGCAAACACTATAACAAAGAGGAGTCAAAATATATATGCACCAGACGAAAATTTTTCATTAAATCTGTGTGTGGGTTGGGATACTATTCGATGCCCGAATCGAAGCAGGTCATTTTCTTAGGGGGCCACACCCCGAGTCTCTAACCCAGAGGTCTAATCCACGAGGTAGTGGAGCAACGTTAGGAGATGCGGTCACATGGTTACCGGTGACCAAGAATAGGTCCATGCGCCGTTTGTTCCCTCAGGATCCTGGAGTCCATGTGCACCATTAGTTTAGAATAAGGATTTTCCAACTCCCCTAGATGAACTCTGTACACGCCGGACATATCCTTTGTGTCCCCTTAATTTCATAAACAACCAGCCCACCACGAGAAGGCATTAAGTAGAACTTCCTCGAGTAGTGACTATGTACACGCAGTCATATAAAAGCATATCGAGAGAGCGCTCTCTCTGCCCTTGACCATAACATGATATTTGGGGGCCGTAAAAGGTATAGTGCATAACTCTGTGATTAGTATCTTTGTTCTACAGCTTCCCATTTTTCCAAGCCGAGAAAGTTCGGTCACCATTGTCCCCGAAGAGTTGCTTCCACTGCACAGCGACATTGTGCAGGTAATACTGAGGTAGAGCGAAATTCGTCACCTTATGGAAAAAACAGCATTTTAAGAACATCTGAATCCTACATTTCACCAAGACAATTAATCTCTCCGAAAATTTCAAACTGATGAAAAACCACGAAATATGATGAATTCATATCATTCTTCCTCAATGATTGCTTTGGCTTTATTCATTATTAACTACCGTGAATGATTATTCTCCACCACCATTTTAAAAATGCTTAACGGTACCCAGTTGTATCCTGACTCAATACACAGTAATTTTCGAGAACTTTGCGTATTACAGCAATCACTACGTAATGTCAACCATGGAATCCAGAAAATCTCTATGAACCCCTATGGTAATAAAATGAATTACAAAAGTATGTCGTACACAATAAAAGTAACTTACTACAAGATATTCGACATCATCGTTTATCGAACTACTGTCATGACTGGTTTCCTCATCAATACATTTGTTAGAATCACGCTGCTGAGTTTGAAGAGATGCCTTCCGTAAATCGTGCCTTCGCAAACTGCGCTCAGATCCACCAATGTTTGATCCTTCGTGAGACTGCCTTAATATTCCAGAGACGAGATTTGCTTTGTAGGAATTTCTTGCAGAAGCCTCTAGGTCTGCATTAGAATCATCATATACAAACCCAGTTTTCCTCGACGTTGGGCTCTCCTCACTGTTGTTAGGTACGACCGAGGATGGAGAGTGATTTAAATCACTTTCATAGAGAATTTTTTTCCATTTTTGACTAATTTGATTTTCTTGGGCAGCTACAGCTGCTTTGGTTCGCTGAATTAACTCTGGAAGAATATGGGAGAAACGAAACACACTAGCCAAGAAGGGGTGTGTCATGGCTTGAGAACAAAACGGTCTTTCATTCATCTGCAAAATAAAATAAGACACTGGTTATTTTTACATCGAATATTACTAATGTGAGTTGAATGACAACGGTTATTTATTACCACCAGTTTCTACCAAAATTTTAACCATATGAAGAAAATAATGATCGGTTGGAGATCAAATTATAACTGTCATGAGAATAAAACTGAACAAAACATAATTATGAGAATTGTAGAAAACCAGAGAAGCATAGAAAATCAGTAAAAACGTAAACAGCATGATGTTAAGAAACGGGATCGACACTCGGATTTTAGTCATTTTACGCTTTGAATCTGAGTATAAGGAGGATTCGGCAACGTATTAACACAAATTTAATTAAATGGCCTTCATTGAGTTCGTTTTCCAAGATTATTAGTGAAAAGACAAAGATAGTACTCAAAATAAGTTTGACAGTTTCCTAAAGACAAATCCTTAGAAACGACCATATAGGACACGACCTCAAATATAAATGTTTTGAAAACTGTATTTGTTTTTTTAAAGAAAATCCCCATAACTTCTATTGTCGATTTTTATATACTAAGTTTTTAGAACCTAACTCCATAAGATCTTGGTGATATCCTCAATACAGTAGCGGACACTATCAAGGTCACTTGAGCGTCGCCCAAAGGTCGTCCATAAACTAGTCTCACCATTTTAACTAGTAAGATTTATGGAACCAAAAAGAAGAGAGAACCTCTTTTACACATAACGATATCGATACGAAAAGAATAAGACAAGATTGCACGACCTACATCTTTTTGGAGAACGAAGCGTACAAAATCCCGAAATTCATCGGACCAATTACCTCCCACCAGTCGTGGGGCATCGTTTGAAGCAATTTGATATAGTGCAGCCATTGGGTTGGTAGCGCTGAAGTAAGGAGGTTCCAACTCAGCTAAGAACAAAGTAAGATTGAGAACATGGAATATAAACTAAAACAAGACATATGAATCATAAAATATCTAGGACCTCACATTCTCTGACTAAATTCGCCAGAAATGGGGTTAGTAAAACAATCCATATTTGAAAACCTCAAACAACTCGGGAAGTGAAATTATAACCGACATTTGGAAGACCCTTCCTCAATAGCGCAATCATGATTTTAACTGGTACTAAACCTACTTCTATTAGTAATAAAAGTCAATCATTTGCAACGTATATATATATATATATATATATATATATATATATATATATATATATATATATATATATATATATATATATAACGCAATAAGATGGAATTATTAAAAACAAATGGAAGACTAGGAATAGTAACAGTACAGTGAGTGAGGAAAGGATTCAAGATGGATTCGCATACTAAAAGGTAGGAGCAGATTTTAAAACTAAAGATCTAAGTGAAGAAAGAGAAAATATATATGTTCCATTGACAGACACACATCTCCAACCGTTATTCACTGTAGTCACGCGGATCTCCACCAGGTAGTTTGCACTTACCTACAGAAATAAGTTCAACTGTCAGTGACTTGACCTATATTGGAGGTGATGGGAGCTGGGAGAACCCAGCCGATCATCCTAAATTTGTGCTGAGATTCCCTCTGAAACCGACCCCACCGCGGCTGATAATACTTTTGAGGTAAGTGAAGTGGTCGATGTAATCAACTACTTTACTTTTAATCATTAATCAATGCACAAACGAATCCTGAAAAATTTTGCATATAGACGAGAAACGCATCTCAAACGCGCCTATATCGTTAAGGCGATCAAAAGGCTGAATGTTTTCAATATCTTCACAAAATAGAATCGTCATCTGTGTTTCAAGTCAATTAATGGAACTCATAACGGATTAGATAACTATGACAAAAGGAAAAAATGGGGGAGATGAACAACCTTGATGAAAACAATTGGTTATCAACTCTGACGACAATTTGCCATAAGCTCAACTCGATCGGGAATGTTCGACCAGAGAGACTTCACAGGTAAAATAACAAGTCTCACACCCACTACTATATACTGGTAGCCACATTATTTAAACTTACATCTTGAATGGAGTTACAGGAAAGGGAAGCATACAACGTCAACAGAAAAATCGAACAATGGAATATTTGTTCAGAAGTGTTAAATGTTATCCGATCCACTCGGACGAACAAAATGCTGTCAGTGGAAAATTCTGTATAAATCACAGTAAAACTATATGTCAATCGTATTGGCGTTGTTACGTGAGTCAAATAAAATACGTATAACATGGTCATATTAAGTAAAAACGACAGAAAGCAAAGTATGGGTGTAACTAACTACACTGAGTGACATCGCAATAAAATAAAAAACAAAAATAACAGGCAGACCCCTACGACAAAAGTCAGTCAGTCAGCTACAACGTAGGACCAGGCACATATATGCATCGGTCCAGGTTGCCATACCTCGTTAGCACAGCAAGATGAGCACCGGATTCATGGGAGTGGTTAGGTTAAAGGTGGTAATATATGGGAGAAAGATTGCATATAAGGATACAGTACCGGAATATAGAATTAGTTCGTAGAAAGAAAGATATGAAGCGATTTTAATCTCTTAGTTTAAGGGAAGACAGGGAGTGTATGCACTGACACCATTGTGATCGATTCTGAGCCATGTCACCAAGAGTCTCCAACCATCGGTTACGAAAGTCACGCGGACCCCGACCAAGTAGTCTGCATCTACCAACATGGCTCAGACTAGAGGTTAGTGACTTCAAGCACTGATGCCACGTTTTGGTTTGGCCTACGACAAAAGTAAAACAAGACAAAGATATGATAATGGTTACATTTTGATATCCCAGATAGCTGATCATAACTGCCAATTCAGTTCGACAGTGAGGTATTTTCGCCATGACCACCCGGTCGAAACTCGTCTTCTGAAGTCCACGGGGTACCATTATGCCATGAAGGTCAGCGGGGGGTATCGTAAAAGCAGCAAACCTTAGACCTGAGTGAATACAAATTACTGATTGTGATAGGGTGGTAAGGTAACTAGCACACAGCCGGTATAGCTATTTTTTAAAAGACGGGGGCCGAGGTTGCAAACCATTGATCCTAAAAATAAAACGAATAAGTTCTCCAAGGATTCCTCACAGTCAGAGAAGTTAGAAAACTACTGCGTCAATAATACTAAAGTGTAAATGTTAGAAAGTTTCACAGACGGTTACTGCTTGGTGACTGACTATACTATTAAGTCGGGAAGACCGGCAACGTTAATCCAGTTTACTGTTTGGGTTCTAAGTTTGTAGATGAATATTGCACTTCTGTTCTGTCTGACAAGTAGGGCTCGTTTAGTTTTTAGAACAAAATTTAATAATAATGTAGATACATGAAGATAGTATGACTTTATGCTCCAGATATTTAATTCGACGAACTGGAAAACAGGAATGTTAAGGGGCTATCTTAAATATACGAGTGGTATAAAAGTTGAGTAAATGACTTAGTAGTTGGGTCGTATAGCAATAGGTTACAATTTTGTACAGTCGCTAGAACGCATTAAATTTTATGGTGAGCATTAAAACTAACCCATTTCAATACAAGTAATTCCTAAAGACCAAACGTCCACTCGTACGTCATATATGCCTTGTTCCATAGCTAAAATGACTTCAGGAGCAATCCAAAATGGTGTTCCCACGAAACTATTGGCCGGACTCACAAAACTAGCTGATCCGAAATCACCAATCTTTACGCCGCCAGAGTCTGTAAGTAGAATATTAGCTGCTTTGATGTCTCGATGAATTCTTTTCTCAGAATGCAAGTAGTCAAGACCAGTTAGTACTTCCTGAACGATACAGGCGATTTCATCTTCTCGAAGTGGTTTTTTGTGTACTATCAGCAATTTTTGATTTAAGGTCATACAACTTACCTTCCAAAACATCTGCGACTGAGCCAATGCAGTATTCCATGACTAACTTTAAAAAGAAAATGTAGTAGCATATAGTACGCGTACCCATGGAGTTTGCTCTTTCATGAAGCATCCTTTAGGCAATACACAGTTTTTGTGTGCAAGGTGGGAAAGAAATTTTATCTCTCTAACGATGTCATTCCACTCTTCTTCTGACTTTTTACGTTTAGTGTCAACCTTTAGTTCTTTGATAGCTACGACTTCACTTGTTGTACGATTCCGAGCCTATAACAATTAGGAGTGGAAAATACGCTTACATAGTAAACTGCTCCAAAGCTGCCGCAACCAATTTGGCGAAAGTCAGTAAATACAGTCGTTGGATTTTCATGACTGAAATATTTTGACAGCTCAGGGTCTTTAAAAACAGTTGTTCTGAGAGACTTGGGCATCGAGTTCTCATTCGTTGAGAAAGTGGCAGTATTCTTGCCTGATGTCAACCAAACTTCAGACCTTCAGTGACCCACCTTGTTGATGGATGAAAGGAAAAACAAGCACAAAGTTTATGCTAATGTAAGAACCATAATGATTATTAAGATCCAGTTGGTTTAGATGGACGTGTTTGGCGGGCGAATGAACAGACATTAGGGCTAACGTTTGATGTCACAAAACACAGAAATGAAATGTGTCTCACATACGAACTTGGATGTTCAATTTGTACACATATTTTTAAGAAGTCTCGTCCTTTCATTGCCTCATACTTCAGCCATTATCCAACTTTGATCAGAAGCGGAGGCTAATCAGACCTGTCGTTAAAACTAAGTCGATTGACCTCCTTTCCCTAATACTGAAGACTAGATAGGTCGTTCCCCTTAGGAAATTTATGCAAAAATACTCGTAGTTTGGAAGATAAACTATATGAACCAATGGTACTATTGGACGAATTAAAGCCAATCATCGTAGCTGTAACCAAAATTTAGTTATTCCATGATTTTGACGTCACTCCAGAACTAACCGGGCACAATTGCTTAAGAAGTGGTAGAAATGGATGTAGGAAACGGTTTTGGCACTAATATACAAAGCTAATAGCAAAAAAGCTATTTCTTTATTTGTGAATCTCATGATAGTGGGACCTGAGAAGTTGTTAGTTGTAAACTAACTTTTGAAGGTTATGCATTTATGCACGGTGTCATCGATCGTGACCTAGCCCACTAAATCCATGATTTCGTTTCAGAGAGTATTCAGATATTAAGTAAAAGTAAAATGTATCTGATATGTCCACCACGGGGCCCAAAAATCTCTCCAATAAAGGACTCCTGATGACTGTGATGTAGCATGTTTGGGAACAGCATGTATCCGAACCCACGCGTTTCAGTTCGAGCCAAAGACTTGGAAATCATTTATACAACAGTGAGCATTACTTTCCGAAGTGAACTTGAGCTCTGACTTGGTGTGCCGGAAACTGCGTCACATTAAAATGACACTTCTGATCTAGTTGCGGTTCATCCTGCTTTACTAGGGGAAGCAGCTTCAATCCTGGCAACACCACTTGGTGTGATGTATTACACTAGCTAAGCCGATGTACATTATCGGAAATTTGGAAGCAGGCTCACATCACACCAATTTTCGAAGTAGGTCAACGCAGCAAACCTTCAAGCTAACGACCGGTGGCACTTCTCTCTATACCCTAGAAAATTATGGAGTCTCTGATATGTGACTGTATACACGACCATTTATTAACCTTAAACTTCTTTTCACCCCAACAGCACGGTTTCAAGAAGTGTCATTCTTGTCTAACCAACCTCCTGACTGCGATGGACAGATGAACAACCATCCTTGATTGCAAGGGGAAGGTTTACACAAGTTACCTTGTCCTCAAGTGCCCTGGTACGACCGAGAGTGGGGAGGGCCTGCCCTCTCTCTCGAAATGCTCTCACACGGCTACGTGTATACAGCCTCTGCCAGGCAAGTTCTACTCTTTGGTTTCGCGTGGTCGGGGTGTTGTTAACGAAATTAAGAGAACGAAAAGCGAATTTCCTGCGCTTTAACCGGGCCAGTGGACACAGTGAGTCCAACTAGGGTTGTTGGGAAACCCTGATTCCAATGGTGCACATGGGCTCTAGTATTCTGAGGGAACAAACGGCGTATGAAACAATTGTTGGTTACTGGCTTCCATGGGACTGCATCTCCTCACGATGCTCCACTGCCTTGTGGATCGGACCTTTCGGTCAAAGGCTCGGAGTGTAGCCCCTAAGAAAATTATCTGCTTCGGTTTGGACACCCAAGCAGTTTCATAGCTCTCACGCAATTACAATGAAATGACAATGATTATTGAATGTACTACTCGCACTCATATTACAATTAACGAACTCATACCCATTTGATACCATTCAATTTTTATTTATTTATTTGTACTACTTATCCACCCTCTTACATTCTAACCTTGCGCATCCCTACATTTTAACTTATACAGCATCTCGCTTATGGTGAAAATTCTGTTGTATCTAGACGACCTCGAGTCAAAAATTGAATGTTTTCACCGAATACGAATACTGAAACCATGTGCACCATTCAAACTGGCTGCCTTAAACGTTCTCACTCTAATGCACATCGGGCAGAAAATAGGGCTGGCTATGTCCTAAGAAAGTCTTAATATAGACGTCTGTTATCTATCCGAGACCCATATTCAAGACCTCAGTGAAGTACTACAAATTCGCTCTCTATCTGTCGCTTCAAAAAGCCTGTTTTACGAGCGTTTATCCGGGAACCCCGTGGCATCTTCGTCTGGTCTTGCTGGCGTTGGTGTCGCACTAAGTGCTAGAGCTGAGGCAGCACTAATTGATTGGATCCCTATTAACAGTCAGTTATGTGCTGTTAGATTAGACAGTTTCATCAAAGTGAAAAGAAATCGGCGTGAGAAACGATGTCTTTTGGTCATCTCCGCCTATGCCCCGACAGATTGCAGCCCGGATGCAATCAAGGATGAGTTTTACCACCAGTTATCTGTTCTTCTCCAGAAAGTGCGTTCGACAGATATTGTAGTACTAGCCGGAGATTTGAATGCTCAGGTCGGGCGTCTAGGCACATAAGAAAGTCGTTTAGGTGGCCGATGGGGACTCGTTGATCGCAGGTCAGATAACGGGGACCGTCTACTGCAACTGTGCCCTGGCCAGAACCTGTTTCTGGCTAGCACTAACTTTCGGCACAGTCATGGCCGATGTGCCACCTGGCGTCCTCCCTCTGCATCTCAGGCCTGGACTCAGATTGATCACATAGCGATCAGCTACCGCTGGCGTGGTTGTGTATAAGACTGCCGCTCCTTTTGGAGTACCTATCTGGACTCTGACCATGCCATGGTCTGCGCCAAACTTACCTTACTTTTCAGTGGCCAACGGATTGATGTTAGTAAGCTGGTTGCAACTTCCGTTGCAAGTATCGAACCGATCTAGCTTCTAGGCTAGTTAACATTCCACCGAAAAGTATAGATGAGCATTGGTTGCAACTACATGATGTCATGAAAATGGCGAGTACGGTCGAGTAAGTACCGAGAAGCCTGGTGATCAGATCGTGCTAGTGAGCTGGAAGCAGTAACTGCATCTGGTGACTACCGGGAGCTCTTCCATCTGATCCGAGCCACTGACAGCAAGAAGTCTAGTGTGAGCGGACCAATCTGTGAGGATGACGGGATGCCAATCACTAACATCCATTGACGTCTTGGACGATTTGGCAGAGTTCTTTGAGGGGCAACATCCATCAGACTGTCCTGCCCTCCATGGCCGGTGACGACTGATCTACTAAATGACACGGAAGTCCGCAAGAAACTCCAACTCTTAAAGCGTTACAAATTACCGGGTACAGATGACTTACCTCCAGCACTCTTTAAAGATGGTGGTGACTTTCTGACTAAGGAATTGACGACGTTGTTTATAAAGGTCTGGGAGCTAGAGAGTGTTCCAACATCATGGAATGAGTCGATAGTTGACCCTATCTTAGAAAAGGGTTCACGTCTTTCCTGTAATAACCGTCGAGGGATAAATCTACTTCCGATTTCGTCCAAGATATTGACTTCCGTCATACTTCGTAGGTTGTTCAAAACCCGAGATTGACTCGCAAGGTACAGAATGATTTTCGTTCCGGTCGAGGATGTATTGGTCATATCTTCACCCTCCATCAAATGTAAGAAAACCGTCATACTTATCAAAGGCCAACAATCGTAGCATTTCTTGACATTAGGGAGTCTTCGATTTGTTGGACAGGGCTGTTCTCTCGGATTATCTACTGAAGAAGGGTGTATCTGAGATGTTTATCAACGTCTTGAAAGCCCTATACACAAACACTTCAGGTGTAGTGAAGGCATCCAACCACCTCTCTCCATTGTTCCACTCAAGCAGTTGGGTTAGGTAGGGTTGCTCAATTTCACCATTCCTCTTCAACTTTGCTATCTATGACGTTATGGAAACAGCTCTGATAGACATAGGTAGTGATGATGTGGATCTGTTGCCTGAAGAAAGACGTTTAGACCTTGAGTATGTGGATGATACTGTCTTACTGTGCGATGATACCCAAGCCATACAATCCGCACTTAATCAGTTGGTAATCAGTGTCCATAAGTGATATGTGTTTTGCACCTTACAAGTCCAAAGTGCGTTCACAAGACTGGTAGGACCTTTATCCTGCACTCACCCTGAGTTTTGCGTGGATAGAAGTAGTCTAGAAGTTCGTGTATCTGAGTAGCTGCGTTAGTGATAGTAGCGGCGCAAGCGATGAGACCAGTTGACGTATAGTGGAAGCCAGAGCGGCTTATGCCAATGTATGCCAGCTGGGGGTTGTGAAAATAGTCTGGAGAGGTTTTCCTCATGTACAAAGAGGCGAACTAAGAAAAGTGATAGGATCCCACCACTTCTAGTACAAGCGGTCAGTTGACATTGAGAGATCATGGAGTTTCATAAGCTGAGGCTTTATAAGAATATTTTAGCAGATATTTTTCTGTCGAAAATAGTAGAAGATCAACAAGAAATCGCAATAACACCGGTTTATTGACGGAACCTCTGATTTCAGAGAAAGGAGCTGTCTTACGATCATCTAAATATCTAAAACCTGATAAGCCAAATGATCCTGGTTATGTTTACCCCTCGACTTTGAAAGTCGAGCCTTTATCAAAACTGTTTGACGCAATCGTAACTGTCAAGAACCTAGAAGTAATTACCAGTTCTATTTACGAAGTGGATAGTATAGACTTAAGTAGTAGCTCTCATCCATTTAGTCTAACGAGTGGGGTGTTCAAACCAACGTTAAGGAATATTAGGGTGGCTATTTCAAGTTATGTAGAAAGGAGTTATTTTTATCCGGGAAATGATAGACGTGAAAGGAAAGGCCATTCACGCTTGACGAGATGATCTAATACTGACTTGATTTATAGTGAACTTTTTATGTGGTGCTATTCTGTCTTATG